TCTAATAGATTTTATTGTATAGAGGCTATGGTGACTGATTACATGTATATGTACCACTTTGTCTGTATTTACAATATCAAAAAGACTGTCCTATAGCTACATGTATAATGTAGAATGTTGCATGCACTTGGTTTCATATAGCCCAGTGTGTTTATAGCTGAGTTGTACTTGATGACAGCTGAAGTCTCGTCCCATAAAAATTGTTTGGCTGTTAGCCTTTCATCCCAGATGACTGGAGGGACAACTGGTCACCTGGTGGATCCAGTCGTCCAGACATCATCATCATGCCTGGTGCTGCATCACTGCAGAATACTGAGGAAAGGTTTTGTACATCGTTAACTTGGATGTCAAAGCTTTATCAGTGTTCTGACGGTATTTGATTTGATTCTTCAATTCCATTCCTATGGACAATTTAGCAGCGCATCTAGGATTTCAATAGCACCATTCACAGTTCCTGACTGGAATAGATTTTCTGATCCATACATCATGATTTATATAATAATCCAACAAGGGCATCTGTTGACCTCTGTCTACTACATTGCCCCCCTTCTAGTCTATTACACAGTAACTATGATGAAAATCTCTTGGCTTCGTGCATAGAGATGTTCAATTAATAGTAACTAAAACAATTTTGACAAAACCAACTTGATGGAACTATTCACCATCTTTTAGCAAATTTAGCATCACTGAATAGTCAACTGAAGTTGTTGTGAAATGTAAACTTACGCGGTGTTATGCTGTCATGCGCATATGCATGATCAGTGATGCTAGTCACTGATGTTGGTTTCCATGTCACTCGCCTTGCACTGTCCATGTTGACAGCTGGGTGCGTAGAAATTCTGGTCAGGAAATCAGATTTCTGGTCAGGAAATCAGAAAGATTCGTTTTAATGGTGTTAACAGATATTTCCAAAAGTATTCATATTGTTTGATCAAAAGTTATGGTGACAGTCCAACTTTCGGTGGTGTCAGGTTTCGGATCAGTTTCGGTGTGACGTATCGACCAGCACAGTAGTAGAAGAGTAGAGTTGTATCAATGGGTTGTGGTTATACGAAATTCTTCTGGCAGCATACCCTGGCGTCAGTTCAGGCTGCGTTTTGTTTCATGCACAGAAAAGATTTTTTGCAAGCAGTGATGTTCTATGTTGGCATACGCTTTTGTCACGCCCTGGGGTACTGAAAACAAACCACTCTGCAATTTTGATATTGGCATAGTTGTCTTACCAGCGAGCTTTTTTATAGCCTGGTATCCAGTCTGATCGTGGTGGAGGCCACAAGAACTCTGTCCCGCCCGCCTCACATAGGTTTCCCGGTGTGTACATCGTGTGTGTATTTCACGAGAGATTGATTAGCCCTCCACGAACGTGTTGGGGGAAACCAAATCCTCAACAAGCATACTGTCTCTTATTAGCGTAACACTCCTACCGGGACGGCCTGTTGCACTGGGCGGGGGGGAGCTATTAGAGCCCCAAAAGGCACAACCTGCCTGAACACCCCAATACCCCCAAACACGTAAGACTGGATACCAGGCTAGCCTTTTTACCACAGCTTTGGCAGATTTGGATAGCATGCAGCATTGAGAGATACACAAGACTTACCTTTTTAAAAGTTCAACTCTTCACAGTGTCACCACGGGATCTCCTTGTTGCACTTGGCAGTTGCACTGTGTAGCACAGGAGCCCTCCGCTAGCCCTACAACCCTGCAATCTTGAAACAAAAATATCAAAGCTGGCTGTGGGTGAGCAGTTTTATACTATTCCCTGTGTATGACATCACTGGGATTCCCCTTCGTTTGTTGTCAGCCCGCTTAGCCAATCACAGCGGAGAACCTGCTTTCGCTTCAAGCGTTGATTGGCTGATAATGACTTAACCTCGGGTCCGGTTTCGGTGATGTCGGGTTTTCGTTCAAAACAAGTTTCTATCTCGCGGGGTTTTCCTACGTCAGGGGAAGTCCCAATCACGACAACAAAGCCGCGTACCTGATAAACACTATTCTCACCTTCTCACTAACAGTGCGATACTATTGAAAAGCCCCGTCAGGGGAATGTTACATGTCACCTCAGCTGGTGGAGTCAAAAACTCCACAAACATAAAACCAACAAACATATAATTACCTGCTGTTCTACAGTTGATAGGACGGGAATGTTCAATATTTATTGTTTCTGATATTTATTGGTTGAAACAATTATTGTTAACGTTAAATGTGTTGTTAATTCGGGGATTCTGATCATAACTAAAATAGACTGGAAGTGCGGTTTTAGGTTTAGGTTAGATCCAAACTACCAAAGTCACATTTGTGTGATGTGGGATCGTCACAACGGACAATCGATCGGAACATAGGGGACTGTGGTAAAATTCCTTTGGGCATGTTTGCCCAGGGCCCAGGGCCTGGTCCGTATAAGCCCTGGTAGTCTGGCATCCAGGCCAGAAGCGTTCAGACCGTGACGATAAACAGATATGGGACTTTCCGCCAGCAATTCAGCTCAGGTGTCCCTGGCGCGGTGCGGGACTTTCTTAAGTACCATGTACTTTGTTTTGGACGTAGACTGCATGTTTTCGGACAATGGCTTTGGTTTCGATGTCTATCAGACGGTACCGAATTCAATGGCCGCCAAAACAATTAGATCAATGCGTTTTAAGGACTGAATGGCTTTACTTTGCTGACATTCAATCTTATATTGCATTTGTTGACACCAGGATCCCTATTCAACAAACTGTTTTGGCAGGCAAGGCATTTATAGGTTACGGGGACATGTCCGATACCAGAGCTAGTTACGACCCATTAACTACAATGAGTGTTTACACTTGTGTCCTTGACAGGAAGAGGCACAAACATCAGTCTAGCAAAAACTGCAACTCTGACCTCCAAGCAGGTCAAATTTTCGATATTAAATGTCAGTTTCCATTTTCTGGTTGGAGTTTTGCCAAACAACTACCATGACTGGGACTTTCCTTGACGTGTGGAAACCTTGGAAACAAAGGAACCAAGTTTCTATATGTCTATGACATCATCAGCGTCCTACCAAGGTTTCCACACGTCACGGGAAGTCCCAGCCATGGCAGCTGTCTGGCAAAACGCCAACCAGAAATGGAAATTGTACAATACTCTGTAAAGGTGTAAACGCAGGACAATGAAAAATACTAGGTATACTAAAATGGACTCTACAACATGTCAGGCCTTTGTGAGTCGAGTTACGCATTTGCCATGAGAAATGTTTTGGATTTTTGATCTTCACTTGCTTTAATTTCTTTTGTCATTTGTTATCTAGTACACAATAAAGAGCGGGCACAATGATTGTTACCACCAAGTTTTTAATCAGAGTTTCGGACAACCCCAGTTAGTGTCTGAGCCTGAAAACATCCGGTGAGAGGGAGGATCGATTAGGCTGCAAAGTCCCGCGCAAGGGAACCATCGTCTGAAAAACGTGGGGAGGGCGAAGGGGTGAGTTACGTTGGAAAGTCCGGCAAGGTGGCATGCACTAAATGTTGCAAAAACAGGCGTAAGAAAACGGCTGGAGCCGGTTCGTTACATCTGCTTGGAGATTATTCTACGCACCATTACGAGTCGCCCTCGATATTAATTTTGTATCTGGCATGTGTCACATCATGTACTAAATTATTCATAACCCTTTTGTTGGAGGAACAGTTGCGTCCTGTTGCCAAGTGTGTGTGTGTGTGTGTGTGTGTGTATGTGTGTGTGTGCATGTGTGTGTGTGTGTGTGTGTGTGTGTGTGTGTGTGTGTGTGTGTGTGTGACGTTATGTGTGTGTTTGTGTGTGTGTTTCATAGCAGAAGAGGCATTTTGAAATGAAATGTATCGTATTTCGTCTTTCACCATATTTGACGTACGAATACAGCATTCACAATCATAATAATTCGAACACAAGTTCTAGTCTCGCCTTCTCTATATTCTCAAGGGTTACCACTAATTCTAATTTACACGTTACTTTTAACACATTATCCCTACAATTATGTTGATGAAGATGATAACTAAGATAAATCAAAGATAATATATACTTCATTTTCACGGCCTTTCTTCAATTCTTACATTTCTAAAATTCATTGCGATACAACAACACCAAACAGACTAACACATAACGGCTCATATAACTTATATAAGGCTATAGTACTGAGTGAGCGGGGGGGCATCAAATGATACGGTATATTGTACAAGAGATTAAATTGCAAACGTAAACGTACATGGTACAAAATTGCAAACGTAAATGAATATGGTACAAAGGCTAACAATACAACATCCCAATGCACCAAACCTGTATTATTGATTATAACAAACGTACAATAAAGGTCTTTCATTCATTCATTATACCACTCTTTACGATTACATGCATACCTGAGTGGTGCAGGCCAATATTCAATGCAAACCTTTAAACCATATGAACAGATAATAGGGCCAGAAGCAGATGTTGAAGAACGAAAAGGCAGCAACAAACACAATGCGGGTGACATAATCAATCTGTTGGCTTAAGTACTCGCACACATCCGGGTCATTCGTCTCAGAGTCACTGTCATTGACGTCAGAAGTTGTATCTGTGACGTCACCTTCCGTGCTGCCACCTGTTGTGCTACTGCTGGTGTCCTCGGAGAATTTGCCGATGGTATCCATGGTGTTGTATCCGGAGGTCTGGCTGTCCGCCTCACAGGGAAGGGCAGGACTTTCCTCAGAAGCGACGTGAAGAGGCCGACTGGTGCGAATGCTGTTCTTTGGTATCGGGCTGCTGGTCCCATCCATTCCCGGCTCGGGTGGACCTCTGCAGTCACCGCTGACGGTTCACCTGGCCCATCGTCCGAGTCGTACTCTCGCGCGTGGCGTGTGTTTCCGCCCTCCGAAAAGGACGTCTCCTCGCTAGGCGGGATGTAGGCAATCCTCCACCCTTCGCTGTCTGCTTGCTCCCACCATATCCCGAGAGGGCTGGAGTACTTCACACGAGGGATGCAGACCTTCAGCTTTCGTGGTTTGTTCTCTACCGGGTGCTGGAAGACAAAATTACAACATGATTGAATAGAATGAACGTTATCAATACTACAGGTGGTGATGATGATATCAAGGTGAGTCTGTATGTTGTTAAAGATGAATAAGATAGGCAGCCTCCGGGTGTTGCTAATTCATCCAGTTGCTAATTCATCAAGTCCTTTGGGAATTCATATAAGGATCTACCTTATATGGATAACATGAAACCGCTTACCTCGAGTTTTCTCTTCCCGCCTGCTGTAGATGTAGTAAACTACAATAGTTTCCGCCAAGGCCAGGACGATGAAGACCAGGCAAACGATCAGCCAAATGTCTATCGCCCTTGCAACGGATACCTGCGGGGTGCAAACAAAACACGGGCTAGATCATTGTGGTAAAAGATTCTAAGCAAGGTCGTGAACATATGAAAGTTTTGAGTACCTAAAGGTGCAGTACATCGGTTGAAACAGTTGTTACGGTGTGTCACGTTCGGTTGCTTGTCTGTCCGTATTTGCATACAGTAGAGTCACGGAAAGTGAGGGGAATGGTGTAACCTGAGACTGTCAAGAAGAGTAACTGGAGGTTGGTAGGAAGTGAATGGTACGAAGCAGCGGAGGACGGGATTGTAAGCGCAACAGTGTAATATGGACAACATCAACGAGAAAGTCACAATAACAAATACAGCAAGAAGTTCACAAAAAAACTCACATAGTACCAGTAATTAATTTGTAATACTGTACAAAACAAGAAATTTCTGCAAAAAAATCTTTCACGGAGGCACGAGATCTCAGCTGTTCACTCACCCACAGTATTCTGTGCTTCAGGACGCCCTTAGTGATCATCACCAGAAGAGGGATAACCCCGAGAGTGATGCGACCGGAGATGGCCTTGTGGTGCAGCGGCAGCGATGTTTGCAGGAGGGAGGCCACCACGAGGATGAAGGACGGGATGAACGTCGTTGAGATGTAGATCCACAGTCGCCTGGTCATGCCCAACTGAACTGATACTGTAGTGTAGCTGCTGGTGTCTGAAAACAGATCACAAGCTGTGTCAACGCTAATCACAAGTTGTTGAACAAAAACCGGGATGTGCCGAATCAGCTAATCCCGTGAGACCATGACTGCTCTCACCAGCCATTGGTCACTTGCTCATGTAGGATGGGATAAACAGTGCTACTCTGTGATACTCAGTGAACAAGAGCAAATGTCCCTGTGTATCTTGCTGTTACCATACATCTGTAACTGTATCTGTACATGTGAGCAAGGCAAAGTTAACACTGTATTTTCAGTTTTCAAACCTTTGTGAAGGTTGTTAGCGCTGCGCGCCACCCTGCGTGCCTCTTCTGATACCCTTCGTGCTTCCTCCGGGCAATCGACCTTCTCCATCGCACACTGTCCCACTGTCGCGCGGCAGTCCTGAGAACTCGTGAAGGGGCACGTCTCAGCGTCGTACTCACATGATTGTTTGAAGTAACTGCAATCTGTACAAGAAATCGAAGATACATTGTCATTCTTATTATTCAGTGAATCTCAATGAGGAAACAGGCATGCATATAGCAGGAAACCAACCAACAAACAGACAGACAAATACGATACCTCCTGTTTTATGGAGGTACAAATGTCATCGAATAGTGTAAGGATAGTATTATCCCTACAATATGGCTGTAATGCTATCATTTACAAACTCGAATACCCGAGACGTTGGTGAGAAACGACTCCAAGGTCCCTGACAACTCTACCCCTCTCAACATGAACTGAGATACCACCTCGGCGCTGTCGGTCTTAATCTGGTGCCGAGTAGTGTCACTGGGGGGCACAAGGCGGAACCTCACTCCATTATCTACACGGAGAGGAGGCAAGCAAACATTATTGCGTTGTGTACTTCATCTCTTTTCTATTTCAATTGTTTGGCTTTATTTTTCAACACCATAACATAAGAAGCATACTAATTGCTATATGTTGTTCATTTTGTTCATTAATTTCTTGATTGAAAACAACAAAATGCAAACCATTTTTTGTTTCTGTGGAAAGCTAAGGCCTTTTCCCCAGGAGACCATTATACGGCCGTTGAGCAATTTAATATTTTTTTTAAATAAAAAAATAATAAAAACTACTTACATCCATGAAGAGGCATGGCGCAGCTCTGGCTATCAAATGGAAAGTGCTTAAACGTCACTCCCGAACAAGACACATGTAGATCACGACTGTAAGAGCAAATTATACAGATCAATATATGAACAACATTAACATAGGACAGGACGTCAGCTATTCAAATTACTGTAGTGGTTCTATTACACGTTTCTTTATCAGTTTTTTTGTCGTTATTTATTTTTTCTTGTGTGCCCATAGTTATTTTTATACAGTAGAATCACAAGAAGTGAAGAGGAAATGGCAGACTGATAGTGAGGTCGAATTGGAGGTCAAATGGTCTCCACGCAGGCTTGGAGGAGGTGACAGTGGAACAACTCAATCTCAAGGATCGCATGTGCGCTACAGTGTAGAATTCCAAGATTACCCAACAATACAATAAAAAAATCACAACAACTCTAAATACTTCACGGAGGTATGAGATCTTTTAATTCTTTTCAGGGTAGTTTTTGTTCATGGGTACTCACATCATCCTGAAGACGACCAGCCCGCTCCTGTGCAGCCACAGAGATATCCCTGTGTCCGAGGTGCTCCCTCTGTCCACGATAGATGTCCTTCTGACGTTCCGTCCGAAGCTGAGCGGCGGAGTCCAAAGCAGGTCCGGGGGAACGGGGACCCAGGAGGCGGTCAGACCCCTCAGCCGAGGGTCTATCCAGGCAAGCACGTACTCGAGAGTCGTAGAAATATTCTGTAGAAAAAAGGTTGTATCTTCTGCGCCATACTGATGAATATCTGGAATTGGTTTCTAGTTTTACGAGACAGCCTAAGATCACAAGTGTAAAACATGCTTTCGCATGAACACTAAAACTGACATGTTAACAACACTTACATGTAAAAACTGTGTGATAATGAATGTTGAAAAGTAGTCCAATGGGAAGAAAGAATCTGATAGATACCAGGATCAGGGATCAGCACCAAGGACAGGGAAACACAGTCAGCACCAAGGACAGGGAAACACAGGATTTTGCAACGACAAAGACGGAATTGCAGATGGAATAGCAACGTGTAGCAACACATAACGTCACACATATACTTACCACATGTTCATCATCAAGCCAGCCCAAACGCCGGACGTACACACTCGAAGCTACCTCAGTCCACCTGTCAGTGTTGCTCTCTAGACAGACATTACACTTTTTTACATACTAATCAATGCAAGTTTACGATGTACTGATTACGATATGCTCTCTGGACATTTAAGTAGGTCACTTTAACGTTAACCATTCTAAGACATTTAACCTCCTAGCCTGTCATTCTGCCTGTTACTCTTTCCCCCGCCCACATGCTGTCAACCTGCTCCGTCTGGACAAATACAGAAAGCCACAGCTCAGCCACCCAAAACAATACTTAAGTCTGGGAAGAAATGAAATATCTAAAAATATACTAGTAGTTTGAACAGATGTCAAATACGAACAGTGTCTCTTACCTCCGCTTGTTGGCCTCTTGTTCTTGTCATATCCTGGTGGTATCTGTTCGCCTGTCCTCCACACCTGCCATTCTATCCAGCTAGCATTACCGCCAATCTCCGACTCGGCAGGGTTGTACTCGCCCTTTTGGTAATAGATAAGTAGCGTCAATGCAACTTTCCTTCGACAATTTATCAAATCAGTGCCATTTTACAAGTTAATCCATTCATACTTACTGTTCGAAGCCACTATTTATGAAGATTATGGTGTTCAATCACACCACAATGGTCTACATCTTTAATTTTTCCAACTTACAGCAAGGTATTTCTTCCATATGCCATCTCCGGCTGGTAACGCATGAGCGGGAGCGTCTGTAGTAGCTGATGGCTCCGATGCGGGGTCGGGCGTGGTCGGCTTTTCAGTCGTCGTTGGGATGCAAGGAGTGCCTGCAACGACATATGTGTTTTTCTGTCTGTTTGTTTGTTTGTTTGTTTGCTTGTGTGTCCGTTGTGTACAGCAGAGTTACTGAAAGTGAGGGGGAATGGTGTAACCGCAGACTGACAGGAAGGTCGAATTGGAGGTCTCCACGCGGGTTGGGAGGAATCTAGTAACGTAACAGGAAGTGGGTGGAACACCGACTGACAGGTAGGAGATGAAAATACTAAGTAGCATGGTAGATTCGTTGATAAATACTTTCTACACTCACTGTCGAAGTCTAGTGGCCTCATCATCATAGTAGATCTCTTCAGTGAATAACCAGATCCCTTCCAGGTGTGCCAGACAACCCCCTGAGATGGGTCACAATAAGGGTTGCAGTCGGTCAGGTACTTCCCGTTGAGAAACGCGTAACCACAGCCTGGTGAGAATGAAGTAAACGTTCATGTTACTTTCAGGCTCATATCCAGGAAGAGCCTAGGGGTAGGAGGCTGAGCATATCCCTGATGCTACCTCCCCCCCCCCTTAGCAACGCCATAGCAACTCGAACAACTCCAATATTGACGAAACCCGGGTAAATGAGTAGACACAGCTTAATTTGAATTTGGTCACGTCAATAAATCCTGTTATTAGCCGCATCGCTAATTTTGATTAACAGCCAGGAACGGGTTATTCCTCAACATCCACTTGCAAGATGCGTCTTACCTGGTGGATACCACCATCCGCCTTCGCTGTAAGTTACCGCACAGTTGAAGTCTACATTGTCGTCGTTCTTCATGTCAAAGGTCGAGAACTGATGGCCGTTGGCGTTGTACCGTCCCTCTGGGGCCAAACTGTCTCCTGCGTCACCCGCAAAATCTCCTACCTGAAGATGTTGATGGATTAAGATTGAAATGCCAAACGTGTTTTCGTGAGGTACCAATTCTCTATCCACTTTTTCAAACCTGTTGCATGTGAGTTTACTTTGATAGACCAACCATAACACGAAATGGCAAAGTATACAATCCTCAGCTTCTTAAATTCCCCCATGTTCATGTTCACCCCATTTCCTGTGTCTGACTTTTCACCACCTGTCATTCTGACCCATAAACAGACACAATAAACCAAGAGAAGAGTCACCCAAAACCACACTTTTGCACCCAAAAGATGGACAACAGCATCCGTACCTCCAACGCGTAGAAGGAAGTGACGTCTCCCACGTGAAACGTCCCGTACGTCGCCACGGCCACGTTCCCATCCCAATCTTCCAGCTCGACGATCAACTGGTAGTCCGACGTCGACGTCAGGCGATGTGCCTTCTCCAAACCCATCCACACCTCTCCGCTTGGGTCACCAAACCCTCTCTGGTAGTCACTCCAGGGCCTGCCGAAGTCCACCGACCCGTCCAGACGTCTTTGCAAGATGGTGGAGCCACAGTTCACAGTCGTCATGCGACAGTAGACTTCGAATGGCGGGTATCCCACGGAGTATACGCCATCTTGTCGTACCCCTGACGTGAACAGGTCGGCACAATCCATAGGTCCACTCGGCGGAAGGCAGTCTTCGGCTAAAAAGGATTAGTTGTCGAGGGGGGATTGAAAGAGTCAACGATAAGAGATGTGGCATATCTGATATATATCTCAGTGTGCAATGTCCGCATAGAAATTTTTGCAGTGTTCTCCCCTACCCAAGGATCCACTGATTGTGATCCTTGTGGCGAAACAGGGGACACAAAGTATTAAGCAGTACTAACCTTGTGGTCTGATCATCATGAGAGTTCTCCGTAGAGAATAGCCGGCGCCCTGCCAAGTCTGCCACACCACACCCTGCGATGGGTCACAGTGGGGATTGCAGTCAGTCAGATACTTCCCATTCAGGTAGGCATATCCACATCCTTCGGAAAGAAAAAGCCATCAGTCAATCCGCGATAACAAAGGTATGATAACATGGTATTGATTGTGAGTTGAAAACTGCGTGGTTTTGATATTTGCCTTAATCGTGCCCTGAAGTAAAAGTCCCACCTGTGGGATACCACCACCCGCCGCCGCTGTACGCCTCCGCGCAGCTGAAGACGGCATTGTCGTCGTTTTTCCGGTCTGTGGTAGAAAACATCTTTCCATTGGAGTCATAGCGTCCTGCCGGGCCCATGCTGTCTCCTGCATTACCGGCGTACGCGTCAATCTGTGGGAAAATAGGCGAGAGGGTTACTTGAGGTTCGGTCATGCGATAGTCGTACGATCGTAGGCTAGGATATTCTTGGAATAGTCGTGTCCTGCAAAATTCAGCTGTCTGGTTACGGAAAAGTTTGCTTTATATATTTGTCGGTGGTTGCTTCTGCCGCAACCAGCTTGGAAATTCTACGGCACCAAAATCGTACGAATGCAACGAATGCGACCAATTCGTTAATCGACATCAGGTGTAAAGGTATAAGGCAAATTTTACCTATGCACACATCATTTAAGAAAAAAGTGACTGTTGCTAAACTCACCCTGAAAACATAAAAATGGGTTTAGTGTTAAAGAGACCGGAATGATCAGAGCAGCATACCGTCAACTGGTAATTGGTGTCCTCTGATCCAACGGAGAACACAGAGTAGCTGGCGTGAGCCGTGACGCCGTTCCAGTCCTCCAACACGATGTGGAGCATGTGATTCCGTCTTGACGAAATGAGGCTGATGTTCTTCAGTCCCAACCACATCTCACCGTCCAAGTCTCCAAAGCCGTTCTCGTAGTCACTCCACTCCCTTTCGAAGTCCAAGGAACCAGATGAGCGCCGCTGAAGGACGGTCCCACCGCATCCAAACGGGTCCATGTCGCACCAGACGTCGAATGGTGGGTCGTCCACTGCGTAGATGCCATCATCCCTGGCCCCCCGGGTGAACCAGTCCGCACAGTCCCTGGGGGGCGGTGGCTCCGGGGGACAAGCTATAGTAGTATTTGGAAAAAGAAAGTTTTCAACATTATTTATTTTGAATTCACTCTTTTAGTTAATCATGCAAAATGGTTTTGCTCATGATGCTAGTGGTCTCTGAGTAACGGTGATTGCGCTTTGGACAGTGTTTCTTTGTCTCTGGTGCTGTGTTTCCCTGTTCTTGTTACTGACTGTGTTTCCCTGTCCCTGGTGCTGACTTTATTTCCCTGTCTCTGATGCTGACTGTGTTTCCCTGTCTCTGGTGCTGACTGTGTTTCCCTGTCCTTGGTGCTGACTGTGTTCCTCTGTCCCCGATGCTGATTGTGTTTCCCTGTCTCTGGTGCTGACTATGTTTCCCTGTCCTTGGTGCTGACTGTGTTTCCCTGTCCTTGGTGCTGACTGTGTTTCCCTGTCCTTGGTGCTGAATGTGTTTCCCTGATCCTGGTATTGAATATGTTTCCCTGTCCATGGTGCTAAGTGCGTTTCCTTGTCCTTGGTGCTGACTGTGTTCCCTGCCCCTGGTGCTGACAATATTTCCCTGTAATAGTTGTTAAGAGTTTTTTTTTTCAGTTTTGGTATCTTCGGATCCCAGCGTGCTGTATATCATTCAAAGACAAACTTACGTTTCAGTTGACCTCCATGGAAGCCGTACGTCTCTTTGTCGGAGGAGCCGCTCACGAAAATGTCTGCAGAATATGATTGGTCCATTTTACCCAAAGTGTTGCGTTAACCACAACAAAGACGATAAAGATTGATATAAGATCCGATGACACCTAATATTTACCTTTAAATATTTGAATCGTTATACGCGATGTGTCCATTCTTTGTCCATCTGGGACATAACTATAAATGACTAACTAAATAAGGACCTTGTTACACAAAGAACTGTAAATCAATTGACATGTTTAACAAACACGCAAGCAAGAACGCCGACAACCAGACCTCCGTACAGAGGTAATAGTACACTGACCATTAGGACTGCTATGAACAAGTGTGTGACTCCCTTCTGCAATGTCAGTACAGCCTGTTGAGAAACCGCTGTCCAGAATCGGTGTCCAAACAATGGTAGGGTCCAAAGGTGAATCATTCAGCTCAAATCCCGACGTTTCCTGAGAAATTTATATCAAAATTTAAAACAATAAGAATCATTGTCGTCCATTTTGTAAGGTGTCATTTGCTGATAAAATTGTATACATCAATGCATACATTTATTGACAATGAAAATATATATCTAGTAATATAAAAAATCAAAGACATAGGAAACACCTTTCAATCACAGACCTCTTACATAGAATTGCCATGCCCAATACTCATCACCACAAATCACAGATTATCAACATGTTAGAATTTAGAGTCAGCATTTAGACTAGAGTGTTACATTGTTCTTCACTGTTGGTACTTGCACGAACCTGTGGTAAACCCACTATCGGTGTTTAATCAGCCACTTAAGATTGGCGTTGTACAAATCTAGGGAAAAGTGCGATTTGAAAAACACAAAGTACTACAATCTGGGCTATAGTTTTACACATAGGTGTAACACACCTGTGACACGATACAGAGTCTGTGGACATGTGTACCGGATCCTTGTAGGTCTACCGTTGTGAAGGTGTAGGTGTTGTGGTAATACTCCACAGGCGGAAGGGTTGTCATGTATGGATCGGAATCGATTGTACTAAAGACAAACAGGAAATAAAGACTTCAAACCTCCTGGAAGTATCATAAGCCAGTAGTGCACAAACATAACTTTTTTGTGACAATCCATAACTTTAATGCAACGCCCTCCCATGATTTACGATTAGCCTCCTTAGAAAGCTCTACGAATCCATAAGTGGTCCACGGTCCACATGCACATGCACGAGACCGGAGGCAATTAGAAAGCATAGTACAATCACCTTATCTGTACCACCATGACGGCAGCGGTTGATTCTATTTCCTTGAACTCGTTAGCAGGGACATCGACGTCAAAATACTCCCCTGGTTGTAGCGTCGTCATGTCGTCACCGATGGTGACCTAGAAAAGCAGACACGTCCACCATTACTTTCTGGGCACGTTCCAATAAAACTGCCATGCCCATGCAAGCACTTGTAGCAAATTTCATATGCATGACCTGTCTTTACGACATTTCAGAAGCATTTTACGGCATCTTCTCTTTCAAAGTGCCTGTGTAAAGAAAGCACCCTTGGCAGACGCTACCAGGTGTTACATCCCCTTTCCAATAGAGGCTGCGTCCACTGAACGACGAAATAAATATTCAACAGATCAACCAAAGAAATTCATAGACGAAAAACTATCGTTTTACGTTTTGTGTGTTTTGATGTCTTTTGCATCGCGCATCATATTCCAATTATGAAATCATGGGTCAGATAGATTACTCAGTGATCGCCGTCAACGATATGACGTTACTACAAGATCTAAAATACTATTTTGTTCCATACAACTCGGCAAGGTCATACGTGCCTCGGTGTCTGGACTGGCAGCTATGACGCGGAAACGGCCGTCCGTGCCACGACCTTGAACCCCGTCCGGTACGGCCAGGTACCTCGTCCCCCACCCGTCCAGCGGGAGGACCTGGTCACTCCTCAGGCTACCACTCACCACGGCTACCGGCGCGCTCGAGGAGATGTGGGATCCTAGGGACGATGTGTTTCGGGCAAAATAATGGCAATACGCTATGCCCAAGTGTCACACAAATCTAATTTTGATTACTACTTCATGGATCCACGTCATGTAATATTTTGGTCTTCCTGTAAGAATTTTGCATCATCCTCAATAAATAAATGTGAATAACATAGAAATAGAATGTTTGTCATCTAGACACAAACGAAAACCAAACAGAAGATGTATTTTCAATTGTTATCGGTAAGAGGTGACAATGATTTTGCATTCAGACTTGGCAGAAGATTTAATGAGATGTACCGGTTAGGTCCCCTGCTGACTGAACCTGCAGACCCTCATATTCTCCCAGCTCGACCTCAAAAGACGTGCCTGCGGTGTAGGCCGCCCCGTCAAACGTCACGTCTTGTGTGGGGGTGATCGTGACGGTAGTGTCGGGGTAGGCGCTGATTACACCAAATTCTGTCAAATTTGAACAATTTAATTATTTGCGTGATAATCAGTATTCAGCAACAGTTACTAATGTCATCGACAGAGAACAAATTGACGTGTGGTCTAATACGCTAAAACATGACAACACTCAAATACTATATATGTAATTACACTATAGATTATTGTAAATAATATTTCTAATACTTTTTTTCCTTGTAAAACACGTGGAGATAGTTATAAAAACATCAGCTTCAAAGTGATTTGGATTGTTCCAACCAGAACCTTGGTATAGCTAACCCTGCTTTCATCATACGTGTCCATCTCCTAAGTGCACGTCACCGTTTCTAGACTTCGATTAGAAATGTCAAAGTAGTTTGGGCAATTTAAAATTTAAAAAAAAAGTTGTCATCTTACAAACATTACCTGAGAGTTGCCCAGCGGCGACGTAGCTGGGAATGTAATATTCGCTGGCGAGAAATGAAATTGGCAAAACCCTATAGGCGCCTGTCATGAGGCCTTCACCGGAAACAGCCAAGAGGCTGATGTCTTGGTCGGAAGTGACGTATACAGCTTTGTTGACTGGTTGGCTGCCGCTCATCTCCACAGAGCTCCGGGGCAACGTGACCATCACTTTCTGTGTTGGTGAAGTTACGTTTTATATCAGACTTTGTATCAATACTTGTGTTATGTGTTATGTGTTATCATGGAAAAAATTGGGCCAACAGATGTACTCACTGACCAGCAATTGCGTACAATCATTGTGTGCTGACTATACTTAATTTCAATCTATAACAGAAGTCAAAAGAGTTCATACCACCGTGAAACTTTTAGCGTTTTTCTTTTGAATTTCATGTCTTATTCATTAATAAGAATCCAAATTTACAAAGGAGATTTACTTGTTTTGTCTTCTCAACGTAATAGTGTATAAGGAATACTACCAGTCTTACCTGATCCGCGGACACGTCCACCGTTGTACTGTATCCATCCGCCGGGGCCTCGATGGTCACCGTTGTGTCCGTGTCGCTTGTAATGAAGAGCCTTGGCTGGTTGTTGGCGTTTTCGAAGTTTTCCAGAAAGGACAGCACGAACTCTTTGCCTATCGTGTACAGGCATCCTTGGAGGAATAAACAAACAACTCTCATGGTTTGTTAACGATATTGTGCGAAACAAGAGATCCAAATATTTTTCTGAACTAAAAAATTGGATGAATATCAAGTTTGTTACGTAAGGACACTGACCCGTCCCTTTCCCTCCCGATAGATAAAAGCTAAGTGCTCCCGTACACAAGAGATTTGTCTTGAAATATAATAAACAGTCTTGACACCTACCTTCGCAGGAAGGGAATCCATTGCCGAGGAAACACACCAAAGCTGCCAACGTGATCCACTGACCCATCGTGCCTACTAGAGGCATTTGCTAAGCCTGTGCTCAGAGCAAAAACTGCATGTTCTTAGTACCCGGTCGTGTCACACAACAAATAATGACACATGGTGGAACCCTGCTGATACAAAATAAAATTCTGGGTGTGGCTTCTTCTGAAGAAACCAGGCGGAAAAGGCTCTTTGGTGAACACATCTCTGCTTGTATTGACTATACTGAAGGTCAATAGTCTCTTTGTTGTAAATATTGCATATTTTGTAACATTTGACGTCACTGATTAGCCACATTTTAAGCTGGGCAGACACAAGAAAGGCTGTATTCGTGACAGCATCGTCCATCAGAGCGAGGAAGACTTTTCTTTTAGTCAAAGAACATCAACAAAACCAACACTGCGCACTGCGTACATACCGCCACTTAGCTAAATTACACGTTTCGTGCAGGACCATTATCTCAAGCATGTGTGATTACATCTTCCTATTTCATTGTCCAGCTCTCACTGAGGTGAGGTGTAATTGCGGAGACGAAGCAGTCGTGCGTGGGGCACGAGCGTCACTGCAGCCCGCGCCAACGTCAGTCAAGACTCAAGACAATATAATTTTAGACTTCTGTCCTTGGTGTTTTGTTCTCGGTGTGTTATTTCCGCATGCTAGGCACGTTGGGGACAATGACTACAGGACAACATTCAACAAAGGTTACAGGAAAGGTTATCTCATTTCCTATCTTCACTTTCTTGCACATGTATTCCCTTATGGGAGGATGTTTTTGTTTTAAATCTGTTAATGAAAACGCAGTCCGTTTCAATGAGTTCTTGCACGATTGAAAAACGCAACTCTGTTGCACTCGATGGCATATATATTTATTGGTGCTATAATTTACAAGCCTATGAATGATATACAGCGTACACCAGCCAACAACACGTCTACATTGACTTTCAGCACATTTACAAATATTGATGTGGTTTATACAATAAACGCGTCACCAGTTATCCTAATACAAATACTGGAGTAAAACATTTAATGAGAGTACTGAAACGTATTCATACAAACTTAAGATTCAGCCAATTTCGGAAACAGCACAGATTATTCAACGAGCATCACAATTACCACTGGTTAAATCTATTGTACAATAATTTCTTTCATATAATATGATGGTGTATTGTTCATTTCAGGCTCAATGATCCATAGTGTAAATACATACCTACCATGATACAAACACATCTAAAAAAACAAATAAACAACATCGAAGTTATGTACAGATAAATAAGCTATGATATCTTGTAACATGATATCATATAATCTGATATGATATGATCTGACATGTTATTGAAACAACAAGTCAATATCAAACATTCTACCATTTAGATATCACTGGCTCTTTAAACAAGGCTCTAACAGCTTTATCCAGCGGTTTTTCACCAAAGAATGTATTAGACATCAGAATAGCAAATGGAACAGCCAAAACCAAAGATTGAACATAAAGAAGGCAAAGGGGAATGCTATTCTTGCTGCTCGATCTATCTTTCCTGTCATCTCTTCGGAACGTGGCAGCCTTTCCTTTTCCCAGAGTTCCCCGGTACGGTCTCTGGACCCGTAGTTCAGCTGGACCTTCCACCGGTTGCTCGGAAGCTGCTCCCATGATGCAATGCCCGGCTGCCGGAACTTGGCGCGCGGGATGTTGACAAGCGGTTTGAATTTGCTCTTCGTCTTCTTGTCCTGCGGTAAAGAAAACCGTGTCATCATTCAACGCGTGTGTTGTCATGCTTATTCAGAAATATGATAAACGACAGTGTGATTGAGAAGAAACAGGTGCAATAGTTTACATCATACGACATTTGTGGCCAGGGCTTTACTGCATAATTTCTGTACCTCATAAGCAGACATGTCCACCTGAACAGGTATGGAAGGCGATGGCACGTAAGGGTTGTACATGGTCATCCATTGTTTGTTGGGCAGACGATACCACCAGGAGTTCAGGGGGCGGTTCAGCTGCGGCCGGGGAATGTGAAAAGATGGTGTGCGCTCCAATAATGCCTTCTTTTCCTAACAAGATCATATGAGTCTATCTTAATACTAGAATGAATGGAAGTTTGTATAGACACATTATAAAGATGAATTTGTATACAGTAATTAAGTGTATACAGGATTGCGCGCCTCGATATTTTGCTTAAATGTTATGACTCTATCGTGAGTGACCAAGAGTGCCATGCATGCCAGTCAATCGGCAATATTATCCAACGCTTGTCACAATTAGTAGAACGTCGTGTAAGGATGGAAGAGATCATATGCATGACAGGAAAATACCTTTCTCTTCAGCTTGTCGTAAATGAAGTGTACAGCCACTGTCTCCAGGAGGGCCAGAGTGACGAACAGGACACACGCCATGATCCAAATGTCGATTGCACGCGCCTCTGATACCTGTAAAGATATATATAAGAAATGGAACCAGCAATCATGACTGTGTATAAACTAATGCAGATATCAGACCCCCCCCCCCCCCCACACACACAAAAGGAATGTTTCTTGCCTCCTAGGATTGATAAATATAGCTGCAGTTTTAATATTTGCCTTGTATATTTAGAACAGTGTAGTATCCATAATGTAAATCATACTTAATAGTTACCCGTAGAATGATGTGTTTCATGTCCTGTCCGGATATCATTACCAGAACGGCAAAGATCCCCAACACGAACCGACCCGCAATGGCTGATGGGACGAGCGGCAGCCATGTTTGTAAGAAGGACACGATGACTATGGTCGTGGACGGGATGAATGTCGTGAAGAAGTAGGACAACAGGCGGCGTTTGAGATGGATGCGCACTTCCAGTGTTGTGTAAGCATTCGAGTCTGGAGAAACAGACATACAGCTGTTCAAAATCTCTAAGACGAATGACATCGGTTCGACACTTGATTCTATTCAGTTGTCTCGATGTCTCTAATTCATCTACTAAAACAGCAAACATTTGGGGCATTGGTCAAGAAAAAAGCTTCCTGAAATAATCGACTCTGTTATAGGAAGCGAAACCAACCGTTGTTCTCGTCACAGCTGTGAAGTTTGTGTGAACACCGTCCCACACTGCTCTTACACCGCTCACAAACTTGGTCATCGCTACACAAGGAAACGGCCAGGCAATGTTCAACGTCATGGTGACACTTCTCCGTGAAGTACTCACAGCCTGTAAGAGAAGGCACACCAAAATGGTAATTTCTGTCTTTCTAAAATTTAAATATTCTAGTGGTATTAGTAATGAAATACATGAATAATTATATTCTAGTTCTACCTAGCACTAGGGACAGGGAACACAGTCAGCACCAAGGACAGGGAAACAGACAGCACAAGGGACAAGGCACCACAGTAAACACCAAGGACAGGGAAACACAGTCAGCACCAGGGACAGGGAAACACAGTCAGCACCAAGGACAGGGAAACATAGTCAGCACCAGGGATAGGGAAAAGCAAAGCCAGTACCAAGGACAGGGAAACATAGCCAGCACCAGGGACAGAGAATCTATATATTGATGAATATAGGGACCCTCACGGTATCTCAGTCGTGGATTTATCCCCCAGGTTACTCAGTGAGCAGACGTACCTGGCCCATTGGTCAGAAACGAGTTCGTCTCTAGCCCTAGTTCCACCCCAGTTAACATGAACTGTGACCTGACAGCTGTGGCGTCTGTCATGATGGCAGCCAGGTGACTTGTATTAGATGGCAAGACGTTGAACTTAACGCCATTATCTGTCGATTTCGTTGAAAGACATACAGGTTACTGGAAAGGCAGGTTCTTCGACATCAATGCTAAGTGAAAGCCCTCACACATGTATATTATAACAACTTGGAATCCGTACTTACATCCGTGCAATTGTACACCGCACACTTGTGAATCGAAGGGATACCGCCACAGTTGAACACTACATGTAAGCTTCAAGGCGCGACTGTAACAATAAGTTGAAAGTAGATCACATCACACACAATGAGAGAAAACAACTACAGGGAGTGAAGAAAAAAAGCACATTCAACGCACTTTTTGGAGAAACCCAAACAACGATACATTTTAAACTTGTTGGGCATCTGATCTTCTGCGAAGTTTCTAGTAGTAAGATTTGATGAAGTCCTCTTGTAAGGTTCCAGGTTTGTTATTTGTGACTAGCTTTGTGTGGCTTAAGAATGAAATAGATGGTTATTACGTTATACTATAAAGCACTGTCCCGCTGGGATGGAGCCACATGGAAATCCCGCTGTTCGACTTGCTTCCCTGGTCCACAACAGAAGTCCGCCGGACGTTCCTGCCAAACGACATCAGGGGAGTCCACGCCAGGTCAGCGGGCATGGGAAACCACGCCGCCGTCAGGCCGCCAAGCCTCGGGTCCACCCAGGCAAGGTTGTATTCTATGGTCGTGCTGAGGTTCTGTGGAGGGAAAACAAGGACACGACAAAATACGTAAGGTGAAAATTTACTAGCATACAAAGAACAAATTAAGCACTCTTTGTTTTGCAGTCTGCCCGAATTAGCTCCGAAATCACATACGGTGGAGCAGCTCGTATTCAGAATCCATTTTTGTATAAAACAAACGTCTAAACCTCATTGATTTAACTCTACCTTACCGAGTGTTCTTCGGACAGCCATCCTATGTTTCGGATGTGTACGCTTGTAGAAACATCAGTCCATCGCTCTAAACCAACAGAAAATCACTAGGTTGGTATACTTTACGAAGGAATATTCCTTTAGACAAATTGTTATCGTTATTGAATGGGCCGGCTACTCTCTCTTCGCAGCCAAGGGCTGAATTGTGAGGAGCTTACAATTATTGGGGCTTAATCACAAGGGGCTGGAGAGGCTGCCATGTGAAATGTGTCAAAGGTTACGATGTACCACCTTCTTATATAGAAGGGAAAGCATCAGAAGTACATGTACTTTTGCCTCCGACATCATACAACAATAACAACACCAGTGCGCCTGATAATAGAGATAGCTTTGGAAAGTTGAAATTTGCTGTCGATCCATGGCTTCGCGTCTAGATGTCTGTACATCACTGCGTACATTAACGTTTATTTCTGTAGCATCGATTATGAACGTTATTTCTCATGCAGCCCTGCATCTATTGAAAACAAGCATCATACATGTAATTAAGAAGCGATTCCTAAGTGTCTTCATGAAATATTTACAGCCATTTACCACATGAAAGCCTTAACAACAAGACCTGTCAGTATCTGTTTGCCTGGAATGATAAGTCTATTTCTTCCAGTTAGGTTGCTCATTGTTTCCACTTGACAGAGCACATGCAGGTTATATGCGAAACCCCTAGCAGCAAGGGTGATGGTGAAAGTTTACATTTCCTGTCCACTAAAGGTGGCGCCCGCTGAGCGACCAAAATTTGACAGATCGCTCGACGAACGCCATATATTTCTTTTTTTCCACGTTTTGTTTGTTTTATTGTCTTTTTAAATTATGCTTAAACATCACGTATGGCATTCTAGTTATAAAACCCATGACCACACAACCCATTTTGGGCCGCTCAGCAATCACCGTCTAGTGGAAAGTGGGCTTCATCTGTCTATATCTAGTATTTAGTACCTTGCTCGTTCGGTCTCTGTGATTGTTGGTACCCAGACGGCAGAGGGCTGCCTGTTCTCCAGACCTGCCAATCTTCCCAGTCAGCCTGCCCAACTAAACCGTCCATCGAACCCTACATTCACAAACATGTATGGTGTAGCTTTCAACAACGCTGGCAGTTACATGTGCAAAATGTTACGGTAGGTATGACAGGTAATTCAGTGTAATATAACCAGCTTCTTCCGTGCCGCGTACCTGCTATATATAGTATGTAAAATTGTCCACACCAAAGGTTACGTTATACCGGCTATACAGATAGAGATATATAACAAGGACATTGGATATATGTCCTTGGATATACCAGATGGAATTTAAGGCAACAACAATACTGTGAACGAACTGTTAATTGCCCGGTTTGTAAATCTAACTGACGGTTGGTAAAAGAAGTTCAAGATCACCATGTAAGATAAAAGACGTCACAAATAAAAGGATAAGGTACTTGCAGTTTTAAATGTAGTCCAGTCCTCTGTAGTTCGTGGTGGATCCAGATTACTAGAAACCGTTACTGACAAACTTCCAGGAACGAGTACGGACATCACATACATGTACACCCAGTACATTATTGTTGTTTAATATGAGAGTTAGTGAAGAATACACACTGCCACCAATTCATGTGAGTTTGTTGCAAGGAGTTTGCTTGGGAGGGGCACCAATACGCAAACACAATTGACTCATAGAAATTACACTGTCCAGTGCCTCCATTGAACGACAACAATATTAATAGCTGGTGACCATTCTCCACGGGTCGGCCTTGGAGTGTTTCGGTCGATAATTTGCATATGCGAACAAATATGCTTTTGACTGCCTAGTTGGCGTTTTCCCCACAGGTGACATTTGCACATACATGCGTACAAGGGACACATAGCGATGTATACTTGCACTGCATAAAATGGGTATTGAGCATTCCCTGACAATAGGGTTGTTTTCCCCGTTTTATTGGCACCGACAACAAGAAGCTATACACATAGTATATACATATATACTGTGTGGCCAGGTTTTGTACTTCCTTACGTCTCAATATATCTTCTAAAGCACCCTTTGGCTACATTGACATTAATGAAACATGTTTGTCTTTCACTTGACTTCAAAGATCAAGGACCAAGTTTGACAGTTTTACCCACGGATCGGATTTGTCGGATTTAGATCCCACTAAGATTCTTGTTTATTTCCCACTTAGAGCGCATATCCGTTTGCTAATCGTGAAGATCTAGCCTTCATCCACCAGGTATACATGTATACATCAACAATACATAAATACAGCCCTATAATGTTGCGTTGTTTCCAAAGCACGTTTAACGTGACGTAGTCACATCGATCTTCGGCGGTCTTCAAACCGTCAGATTGCCAGATCGCTGCCTTATCAGAGTTCTTATCGACGAAACAAAGTGCTGTACACGGTTGGAACATAATCGGCTCACGGAAGTGTGTTGTATAAGGAGACCACACAAATGGTTGGAAGTATCGCGTACAGATTATAGCTGGGTTCGACACACTAAATCGCTGTGCTCCTGGAATAAATGACAACGCGAAGGATTTCCATTGCTGTAGTCTGCATCTTGCAGATATTCACACTGGACCCAACACAAGCAAATGAAGGTACGTTCCGCATAGGGCATGATTACGTTCGTCAATCGTGCAATTTGGATTGGATGTCGTAGAATTTTTAAGCAAGCTGTGACAAAACCAATCGCACACAAGGGTCTAAGGTAGTATTTTCCATAACAGAAAAGTTAAACTTGAGCAGGACAGATCTACGACTATCCCAAGAATGCCCTAGTTTGTGAATGTACGACGATCGTACAACGTATATGACCGGGACCCTGCTGGTTGTTTCTAGCGGGCCTGGTCAGCCCTGCTATTAAGAACATGTTATATATACAGGGCTTTAGATATAGAGGCATGGCTGTTATGTAATGTTTCTTGTACAATCTGATTTATTAAAAAGAATCTGTTGTATAGACGGAACAAATTCCATAATTCAAAACATCGTAGTCTAAGATAGAATTTTCAAAATGTCATATCGATACAAGAACTTTTGGTATTATTCTACAAAAAGCTTACAAGGTGCTGTTATCATGCTTAGTGATACTTAACCGTACACTACCCTTTTCGATAGTCTATGATTAAGAACAATACTTATAAACTACTATGCAAACACACCGTCCCTTTTTCCTTGTGGCATGTTAATCTTACTCATCGGAATTTACCGAATGTACAGATACACGAACATCGCAGAGCTGCGACCACCTGAAACGCGACGGAGAAACAGAAGATGGATATTACTTTATTGACCCTGATGGCAGCGGTGGTTTGGACCCTTTCCAAGTCTACTGTGACATGAGCAGCGATCAACAATCGGGTGGGTCACACCGTGACTCTGCTTTGCTATTTTGTTTGCAAAAACGAGATACTATATCTTGAAAACATATGTTACGAAAAATCTTCTGTTGTATAATATATCCCATACTACATAGTTTGTAGGGTAGACTGGTACTTGAAGGCATGACTACTCTACTGCAATATCCACCCTGAATTCACCCCAGGGATAACTGTAGTACATCATGACATGGAAAAGAGGGCGTCCGTAGACGGTAGGAGGGGTCCAGACACCAGGGTCGTCAACATCACGTACACCGCCTCCATGGAGCAGATACAAGCTCTGGTCAGCCTTTCGTCTGGGTGTGAGCAGTACCTATCTGTGAGTAAAGGATAGATGTACCATTTACAGTGCAAAATCGCCAGACAAATAGCGGACGGTACAGTGCTTGATATAGAGTCCTTTTTTCATTGACTGACTTTTATTCTGTGATCGTGAAAACCTCCAATTCACTAGTTCCTTGCTCCAATATCCCCTTCGTTTGGTCGGAGGTTGTTTAGCACTCAAAAAACATTTGTACACACAAAATATAGGTGACATACAAAACTGACATTAAAAGTATATATCAATATTGTATCTACTAGTCCCCCCCCCCCATAACACAGGATAAACTACAAACAGCATTGTAACTCTAGAAGAGTAGATATGTGCCTCATACTGAGTACCTCCAAAAAGCAGGCCATTTTGTTTATTCATACACGTGTATGAAACACAACAAACCAACGAGGTCACTTTTGCCATCATTCTCGACGTGGACGATGTGTATCACTATATGGCACGACTATAGTCACTAAACAAGAGACCTGGCCTTCCGTGCGTGTCGCACTAAACATTTCATCGATAGAAATGACGTCAATATTGACATTTAATTAATTTAGTGTAAACCACAGGCATGGCTAGGTCACGTAGGTCACGTTGTTGCCAGGCTTTATTGGGACCTGTTGCCGATCAAAACGTCTGATCCTGTTGTCATATACATGTAAAGTGGGGACTAACCGCAACATCGCAAGTTGCGGTTACACCCCCTTTGCACCTATGACTATTGGATGGTTGAGTGACCACAAATTGGACAGATCGCTCAATGAGTTTCGTAGAGAAATGACTATAACTTTTGTCTTTTAATTCATACTTTTACATATTGCATTACATTCCTATCATGAAATCACCCACATTTGCATTGTCGCTTTACGGTGGTATAGCTAGTGATCGCTGTCTAGTGCAAAGGAGGTGGGGCATAGGAAATGTTATCGCCATGTACATCACGTATATCCGTTTCCTTTTGAAGTGCTAGCATAACTGCAATGCCTTCTCTTTTTTATCCATGCTGTGACAAAAATATTGCTTTTGACGTCCTCCGTTGTTGCATATGAGAGAAAAATGTTTTTGGCATACCCCTGATCAAAGAACGCGGATATGAACGGAAAACAGGATAAATCACAGAAATAGCAGTCCATGAATGTTCGCGTGATGTGTGGGGATTAACAGGCTTTTGTCAGCTCCAACAAAGCATTACCGCCTTTCGATGACCGATAACTCACCTCATAACAACACACACGAGAGGGTCCTGCCAACAGTGGCACAACATATGATAACTTTGTTGTGTGTTGATGGGAAATGGCAATCTCGTTGATACTAAAGAAATAACAACTTGGACAAAATAGAAGGACACTCCATCACAGCCATGGAACAATAATATGCAAACATTATGACAATATTGAGCAATCTTGACATAAATGTTTTGGTCAGCATGGCTGAAAATTTGGAGACGTATGCAGGTGACTTCTTCGGGTAATATGTCATAAATTTATATTCACTACACCGTATATTATATATTTCACATAAGCGACTTTACCATAATCAGACGGTCCTTCTACTCCATATAATTCTCCAGTACGACTGTTTCCTGTCCCCTATATTCTCCCGTCCCTACCGACATGCGCAGTACCGACAACACGTGGCCTGGTACTCCCGACAAAACAGAAGGATGATCAACTGGGCAGGCGCAGAAGGACAGGATGGCAAGTGCGCATGCGGAGTGACAGGTAGCGTTCATAATTTTTTAAATTGGGTTTGATGCTTCCATTTCTAACAAACAAACAAAATAACATCTTCTAATAAAAGCCATGGTAATCACTCTACGTTGTAATATGACATAAGCGCTTTTAATAATATTTGTCTTGTTTGAATTATTTTTAATCTGATACAAACATGTGTTACATGGGAGAACTGAAAGACTGGTTAAGCCGGTTGCCTGTATTTTGTGATTTTGTTAACTTCTTGAGCATCTAATGAAGACAGAACGATCTGTGTGTAGCGTGGATTATTGCAAACACGAAATAGCCATGGCCATATCTTGTAGCTGTTATTGTATATAACAGTTATATTCTAAAACATCGTGCAGATGTGGTCTTGTTTTTGTGTGACCTTCTAGATACCTGTGTCATAAGTAAAGAAACGTTCCGTACATCACACGTTTCTCCCACGTAGGTACATGTGACAATGGAAACAAGCGTTGCAACTGTGACAACGACGACAACCAGTGGCGACAAGATGGCGGCTACATCCGGGACAAGGAGCACCTGCCCGTGACTCGGCTCGTCTTCGGGGACAGTCGTGACGTGCTGATGTATGCCGAGCACGGCGTCTACAGCATCGGCGCTCTCAGGTGTACAGGACAAGGTTCGTGCACAAATGTGAATTAGTCGGGAAGCCAATAATGGTTATATGCATGGTGCATAAAGAAACAAAAACATTATATATCAATGTATAGTTGTCAGTCCAGCAGACTAGGACATGTTAGAACACCTGTGAAAGTTATGATGCTAGAGATAAATAATCAAGATACATTCAGTAGAAATCTTTTATTATTGTATTAATGGGCCGAATAGGGTGTGTGCGTGAAAACCGTGTCGTTTGTTGTTGTACAAGTGTAATCTGTCACTTGTAACTTATATGGTCGCAACGATGAGTTATGCCATAGTTATTTCGCACGGTTGTAAACTGAAGGCACCCTTGTAATAGCCATGCATATACTAGCTGTGAAAAAAGCAGTCTTAGAACTGGCCTTGTCGGTGGCCGGTTCTACTTGAAAATTCTACACCATAATCGCACTACGCCCTATGACGAATGTGACCACGCCTTTACTTACTATTTTTCATGAACTTTTAGCTGTGGACAGTGTGTACCCAGCCTCCTGTGCCGAGGTGAAGTCCCGTGGTGTGCAGGACAGTGGTGGTAGTTACATCATCGACCCTGACGGACCCGGGACAGGGGTGGAGCCATTCACCGTCACCTGTCACTTCAACCAAACAGGTAAGATACTGCCTTCACCTGATCAATCCTCTCCATTCATAATCATTCTATTTTACTTGAATAGACATTTTGGAGATATAGATAGCCCAGATCTTGTTTCAAGTACTTTGTGCTGTTATTGATACTCTAGTAGGTAATTGTCTAGTTAAAATAATTATACTGGATTGCCTTTGGCTGAAATTTATATATATAGTCTCGGTTCTCAGCACTCTAAGCCTTGTTTCCTATCTGCATTGACAGTAATAACGACCGTCCATCACAACCGAGAAGAAATGACTCACGTGGACGGACACGAACACCCCATGTCCTACAGGGTCCAGGTGTCTTATGCCGCCAGCTCGCGGCAAATACAGGCGCTCATGGCGATTTCTGACAGATGCGAACAAAGTATAGAGGTATGATTATGTCTCTAACCAACCGATACGATAAAATGATATCATTTTCTGAGGCCAAAAGAAACTAATAAAGTATTTTTGGATTTAGCCATAAAAGAGTAGAAACAGGGACAGGTTAGTGACATGTTCCTACCTGTATATTGTCTTGCAGTATCATTGCTACGGCTCGGCCATATTTTACCCTGAGAACGAGTTTACACAAAAGAAGCAGCATGCCGCCTGGCACTCTAGAGAGGGAACGAGAATGCATTACTGGCCAGGGGCAAGGGGGCAGGCAGGCAAGTGCGCATGCGGTGTATCAGGTAAGGCGTGATAATGAACTCTCCTTACGCCTTCGTGCCTGCGAAGATTGTATTCCAATGAATTGTCTGGTACGACACAACGCACGACGCTAGCATGAATTTCTGACATTGTTTTACCCAACCACAGGCACGTGCGACAATGGAAATCCTCGCTGCAACTGTGATAACAACGACGCCATCTGGCGGAAGGATGCAGGTACTGTAACAGACAAGAGCCTTCTGCCGGTGACAGGGCTGGCGTTCGGTGACACCTCCATCAAAATCTGCTTTGACGAAGAAGAAAACGCAGTATCCCTGTTGGACGAACAGGGTTTCTACGTGTTGAGTCCCCTTCGCTGCAGAGGTACAGGTACGGCGCTTTGTCTGTTTGCTTGTATGTCCGTACTTATTTGAATACAGAAATGGTGTAACCGCAAACTGACAGAAAGGTCAAGTTGGAGATAGAAATGTGAGGGTGGGAGGCTGTGAGGAAATAAGTGGCATTGTGGAAATGCATGTATATAGAATCAGCAAGAAATTCACAAGAATGAATAAAACAAGAAACAACAACCTGTTGCAAACGTCCCAAATCCAGGTAGGTACACGTTCAAAGACATGCATCACTTTGTCTGTAACGACTCCTAATGGCTAGCCGGCTAACCTCTCACTCACCATCCCGTTTAGCGTCTGTTGTCTCCGGTTAGACGTGCAATACTGCGGCTTGATAGCAGTCCCTCTACCCTGTGGGTTGACGTTAATGTAGGTTCAAGTAGTGGAAGTCCTCCCTTACATAATCCATAAACCGATTACATATTACATTCATGTTACCTGTATTAGACCACCTTTCTAAAGAGCCGCTTGAACGAGAAGACGATGGGGTGAAACAAGATGTACCCAAGAAGACAGAAAATCCTGCAGAAGAGCCTCCAGTACATGAGGGTACTGGTATTAAAAACAAGCATAGGCATCTAAGCAACAACAAGAACAACAACCAACCCATCCACCCTACGATAGAACGCACGGATGTGTCTGATGAGCACAGTGGCGCCGAAAATGAAGACGAACAACCGTTGAGGGACGTTCCCAACCAACATGTGGACGTGCAACAGAATCAGGACGACGCTGTCTTCGGAAACACAGACGGACAACACGTCAACAGTGAGCTTGTCCATCCCATAGAAGAGCCACCGGACAGGATCGATGAGAACACTGGTAACAACGAGGACGAAGACCAACCCATCGAAATTCTACAGAGCCCAGCAGCCTGTAAGTTCCAGCCGCTATGAGTAAAAATATATATCTTTCCGATTGTGTTTTCGCCTTCAAAATCACAATGAAACAAGAAATCCAATAGTTCACAATATTTAGAATTTTGTGAATTTCTTGTTTTATAAGCTTTCTGAGATCTAACTTCCTGCTGTCAGTATCCCCTGCGTGCCCAGCATGCGCATATGGATATAATTACGGTAACACAAGCGAACACAGAAGCGGACACACCTAAAACAAAACCTCCGTGACAAAGGAATAAACTTTCTTAAAAATTCAACAAGGAAACACACACGTCCACCCTATTTACGATCGTATCTTGCGTTACGTTTTGTCTTGTAATTTTATACTATGCGACTTCTTTTCATTTGCTTTGTCCACCAGTGGGTCAGGATGATTCACACAGAAGTGAAGACGTTGATAGCGGACAGGAAGCTGAGCACGAGTCGCCGCAGTGGGTAAAAGGTGGCGGCCTGACCGACGAAGGTGCATCTGATTTATATCATTCCCTGTCATCAATATGGTAAACTGTTGATCGTGCATATACGATTGGGATTTTTCTCAGTTGTGTAGATGTCTTTCTATGTGCCCTATACACATGCATATGATGGTGCAGCAATCAATCAATCAATCAATCAATCAATCAATCAATCAATCAATCAATCTATCTATCTATCTATCTATCTATCTATCAATCAATCTATCTGATATGTTTTACAGATGATCCAAGTGCATCCTCTCAGCCGCTCACACTTGAAGTTGGGATTCCTGTGGTGTTGACCCTGCTCGCCGCAGGCTTTGTCTTGGCCATGAAGTAAGCACGAACTCTCTAGAAAAGTATCTTGACGAAAGATCAGCGTGGCCGTATCCTGGTTCCGTGGATCAGTTATGACAACAATAATCTGTCAAGCTTTGATTATTAGATAACGCCTGTAGCAAGTGACGCGCTTGTTATGATAAGGTGGTTTCTAAAGGTGATCTCAAATCGATATTGAACAATCTCTGCGCCCTACAGCAACTGCTCAATAAATGACTGCTTAAGTAGGCGGTCACATGATATGTAAGATCGTTGATCTACTAAAAGTGCTGCCTTTGAATGGATGTTGCACAACAACAGGTATGTTATACAGAACTGATCGATATTTTGTTTTCCACAGAATGCCCTGCAAAATGAGACGACTGAAGTCGAGGAAAAGAAACAGATCTGGAGACTTCACCGCTGATATGCTGGAGTTTCCAAACGTCAACAAACCACGTCTTTTAAATAGTTGGTCACTATATGAATCATGAGAAGGAAGAATGATTGAAGTGTATATAATAATTGAGGAGGGTTTTTAGTTTGTCTCTTCGTGTATTTATCTAAACCGCCTATCGGTAGGATTATATATACAAGGCAGCATACACCCAGCCGGGTTCGATATAAATTGTGACCGTAGCTTTATTGTATCTATTATAAAGTACCAACCGAATGCAATCTTACTTATTCTACTTTACAATATTTCAACCAACGTTATCAGACTTATACAGAGTTAAAGAGAACATGCCAAATACCTTTGAATTGGCGTGAGATACTATTTCAGAAAGGATACCTTCAAATAATTAAGCTTAACCCCACCAGACTAACAACGCAGGTTCAAAATCAGTAACATTTAGCCAAATACGGAGAATAATTCCATTCCACGATGCGTTACTTCTTGATACAATTTTGACATGAGCCAAGAAGGCTTTACAAAATAATACCAAATGTCCTCTTATCAAACATAATTAACACTAATATTTACAACGATTATTATAATTAGTTTGACTACATGTAGTTCAGTTTATTTTTGTGACAATACTGTTATAGATGGCTTCTGGCTAATCTATAAGTTTAGAATGTGAATCCTAGATCACTCTATTTATTGAACCAACTCAACAAAGAATGAACAAAGAATATATTGTTTGTGTCTCGTTTTATCTATTAGAGAGCGGATAAAAATCTCCTCATCCTCATCTCATTCCACCTGAGATTTTGTGAATCATTTGTTTTATTCACAACTGTGAATTTCTCGCATTATGCTGTTTCCCACTGGCCCAATATTGGCAGACGCAACAGACGTGCATATGGCAGGACATTGTCGATTAGAAATGAGATAACTATTTCCAGGGAAACAACTATAGGAACGCACTGTGTTTGTGTGTTTGCCTCATATGATACTTTCGTCGTTTATTAATCATTTATGTAATCTCCGGGCAGATCTTTCGGTGGCTTCCATACAGTCTCAAATCCGCCAGGCAGTATCCATTTGCCAACCATGCACGGTAGCACTGCGGTCAGTGCTTTCCAGGGCCCCTAGGAACCCAGAACGTTCGCGCATGTGCATTACCTGCCGACGAGATAACGAGTAGCCATTTATTAACTTCTCGACCTTAGTCTTTAACTGTAGACATGTGTAGTAGGGCAAATGATCTGCAACATTTTGACAGTGCTTCAAACTTTCTTAGTTTCCTCTCCGAGATATGTGCATACTCTCCTGTTGGTTTTAGAGTTTCAATGCAGAAAGCTCATGACCATACTTTCGTTGATGTCATGATCAGTGTTTACTCCATAAAAATATTGCCCTCCAATGGTTGTCCTTTGTTTGACCCAGCCGACCTTTAGGTCTGTTAATGATTATCACTGACTAAACCTCATGTCAAATCTGGGAACTACACTGCGCACTTTGTCACTTCTCGGACGCATAACAGATCGGACGCAGAAAGGCCAGGATTTGGAAGCACCGCAAGAGTTCTCCTAGTTGTGTACAAACAAAGGAGTCTTGCAAAATGGAGTGCATCAAAAAGGTATGATGATCAAGATTAACTTCTTGCAATGCCCCCCAAAAAACACCGGAGACTAAATAAATGGGCCATAAATGTGGTGGGCGTGGTATTTGCTAGTGTTATGGTTCGTACAGGAGTCAACGGCTTGAAACCTTCGCCAATTGTTATATTTGAAACAACTCTTTCAACTTAGTTCTGAAAGCGAGAAATGCGAATATCATATGCGACAATGACACTTAGATACGTGTCTTGAATTTCTACATCTCATCACGTCAGAGGACAACGTTTGACATTGTACCAGGCACGTACGTACCTGCACTGATTCAACGTATATTTACACGGCCGACGGGACATGTGTGTTCTCTGAGACACGGATGGCCTTCTTGACTCTCATACTTATACATTATCTTGTGCAATAGAAACTACTTCTCTGGCCGCCTATACCATGCCAACAGTCTGACACCCAGGCTTGGAGCTTAGAATTTGTCAAAATATTTCATACATGATTACATTCCAGACGCAAGGACGTGTCCAGGCCCGTCACATCCTGGTCGTGGCCTGGTTCTGGGCCTTCGCCAATGTGTACATCCTCCGCACCAACCTCAGCGTCGCCATCGTCTCCATGGTCAAGAGCAACTTCTCGGCATCGGCGGCCAGCGAGTGCACCGGCGCCCAGAACAACACGCCCCCTCCCGGCTGGAAAGTGAGTTGGAAACTTCCTTGGCTGTAGGTAGGGTGCTTGGTTTGGGGTATAAATACGGCCAGTGGACCGATCAATCACTCACTCAACCAATGATAGCATGACAATAAGTGGTCCGTCATCAGATTTTTACCTCCATGAAAAATGGAGGTATTGTTTTTGGCGTGTCTGTCTGTATGTATGTATGTATGTATGTATGTATGTCTGTCTGTCTGTGTGTGTGTCTGTCTGTCTGTCTGTGTGTGTTTCCGCAACTTTGTGGTCAGCATAACTTCAGAACGCCTTTATGGATTATGATGATATTTGGTATGTTGGTAAGTCTTAGGAAGACAAACGTCAAGGTCAAATATGGGCCTCCTGGTGGATGACCTTGGTACTGCAGCAGAACTTCCGGTTTTTGTATCTTTTGTCCTGAACATGCTATGGTCTTGACTTTTTGGTGGCAGATAGCTTTTCCTGTCAGGAATAAGTGGTGTGAGTTTGGTCCCCCTAGCAGCTTGTTCTGGAACTGCAGGGCACTTTCTGGCGAAATGTTTAAAAGCCAATAAGTCCAGATAGGAACAACATATTTTCATAATTTTGGTGTGTAGGTAGCTGAGAGAGAGATGTACATGATTAAATGCAAATTATGCAAATGAGGGCTTAATTTGCATAATTAATGAGGAAATTCTATAATTACAGTGTTTTACATTATACTTCTTTCATACATGTAATGTATGTAACCTATGGCAGGCAGAACATCAACAGATACTAATTATGCAAATGATGACCTTATTTGCATAATTTATGCAAAAATTCTATGATTTCTTAATGGTGAATAATGGGAATGTCATACTTGGGACATCTGTAAGTTAATCAAAAGTTAACATACATCACGATGCATATATCATGTTAATGCGGAGGTAATTTGCATAATTAAAGAGGAAATTTACATTTACATATCAAGCCCATATTTCATGGAGGTATGAGATCTCGGAATTCTTGTTACGTTGTGTTTTTTTATTTCGCATTTCTACGTTTTGGCGGAGGTGGACAGGGTAATGAGTTCGGCAATAAGCCTATGCCGGGCTGAAGCTGAGGCCAAAAGACCCTGCCCTGCACAAAATGCCATAGCCTCTTCCACACCAGGCTAGGTCTAAACAGTCACCTACGACATCGACATCCCAAGGATTGAGGGCTACTTCTGACATTAACAATTATGCTCGGAAACGAGTCAATGACGATGATGATATAACATTTTTGAAGTTTCTAATACGTCTGCATGTACTACAACTCCACAGGAAGAAGGCGAGTTTGAGTGGAATGAGTGGTCTCAGGGCCAGGTTCTGTCAGGGTACTTCTACGGCTACACCTGCACACAGATACTCGGCGGCTGGCTGGAGACAAGACTGGGTGGAAAAGTAGTTTGTGGTGGGTACAAACTTGCACTGACTACACAGACAAATAGTATTTTTGCACACAACATGTATTGCTATGGGCCTATTTTTGTAGCTCTGCAAGTTGTATGTTGATGACAGGTGGGACTGAATGTACAGCAATACGAAATCGGAGATTTCACACCTCCGTGATTTCCATGACTTTTTGTGGGAATTGTACAGCTCCTGATGTTGTACTCCTCAGGTACCAGTCAGCTGTTAGGCGGCCTGTTGACGCTGATGACCCCGGTGGCTGCCCGGGGCGGCGTGTACGCTCTTCTCGCTGTCAGGATTCTGGTGGGCTTTGTCGCGGTAAGAGACATGTCTATATATGATAGTGTCTCTAGAAATACGCAATGTCAGTAATGTGTCGTAAAACTAGATAATAGGTCCCTGTCACGCATAGTACCATATTCTCTCGACCTTCTCATGGTTGAATCTTCTATGGTTGAATATCAGCTTTTGGAGATGTTTGCCAGTCACCTGATATATATTTACCGTTTACGTCTCCTGCATTAGTTGACTAAGGACAAAATAGTAGGAAACGGAGATGGCTCATGCTTTACATGAATAAGTTGACACGCAAGGTCATCTGTTTCTGAGTCGGTTCGCGAAGTTGCATAGTAGCCCTTAAAAGTCGTTTGCGGCAGCCGACTATGGATTTTGAAAATCAAACTGGAGAAAGTCATGTTCTTTTAAAATGCGATCAGAGGAGCTAATGGAATAGATTACAGACTAATCCCAACCCAGCGACTACCTTGGTTGGAGAGTGGTCAGGGACAAATAAGGTCGTTTCAGTTTCAGTTTATTGGGATGCCCTTTAACCCTAGGCTTTAGGGGCTAATCTTCCAGGGCTCCTACACAAAATCGTTGAAATCTCTTGAATGTGTGATATGGACTTTAAGCACGTATAATAGTAATAATTCAAAATTGCTGATCTTTGTAATACTAGTACATAGGCATACATGAAGCTATATACTGTACAAATTTAAACCACGTCTGTTCCAGGGCGTCACGTACCCGACACATCATGGCATGTGGGGCAAATGGGCGCCTATTTACGAGAGGAGCAAGCTCATGTCCATAACCATGGCGGGTAAGCCGGCTACAACTATCGCAAACCTCTCTACGTTTAAAGGATAGAGGTTTATCTTTCTGATCACTATCGATATCCTTGACTTTGTAGAATTAGTTTTTGACATATATCTTTTCAAAAATACAAATGAATGTAAATTTGCCACTAACACTCTTGGCTTTAAAGGCTGCGTTATAACCAGTGTTGCTTGTTTCAATCTGCTGCATTCCTTCTACGGGCAAGATCAGGTAATGAGTAATACTCTAATAAGAACGCCTGTGCCACTTGTGATTAGGTGCGAACTTCGGGACTGTGATCGTTCTGCCCCTGTCCGGATACCTGGCGGATACCTACGGCTGGGATTCTGTCTTCTACGTCACAGGTACGTCATAGTCAAGTACCAGTCCAGGAGTCTTACCATATTTAACTCTGAATAGGAAAAGGAAGGGGGGGGGGAGGTTTATAAAGATATCTATCCTCGGACCTACATGTGTACAACAGTCGGCCAGCTACCTATCGGTAGGGGCATCAAAATAGACATCACAGCTCCAATGTGTATGTTGCAGGTTGTATCCCGATCATGTGGTTCGTGTTCTGGGTCATCTTTGTGTACGACTCTCCCTCCAGCCACCCCAGGATAGACCCGGAAGAGGCCAAGTACATCGAAAGTCAGATCGAAACTAGAGAAGTGGTAAGAGACATGTGCATAGCCCTTCGATGCATTAATGTACAATAAATGTCTTTCATCTATAACAGCCGAAGTAAGGATAAACATGTTTGACTGTGATGCAAATTGTAAGAAAGCATCTTGAAAACACTCAAGATCTATTCGGCAATAACGTCAGTTGATTAGGGACAAATTAAGTAGCCGTCGGGAAATACATGATATAAAGGAGTAATTTAAAGGAAACGTCCTTGTAAGAAACGTATGACGTAGTTCTGAAGACGTGTTTGCCTTGCACTAGAAACGTCCGCCGGTCCCGTGGCTGAAGTTAGTCAAGTGTGTGCCTCTCTGGGCCATCGTGATCGGCCATACCTGCTCCAACTGGGGCTTCTACACCATGCTGACCAACCTACCCACGTACCTCAAGCAGGTCCTGGGATTCGACATCAAGGCGGTGCGTAGAAAACAGACACTGTGCTGGTTAAGCGCAGCATTACATTTGTAGATAACAGTCTAAGTAACGCGATCTTAAGGGTAACGTTAATGGTGTAAGAAGTCGGAGATTTCAAACCTCCAGGAAGTATCCACTAGTAGAGTTTTTGTGAACAGTATTGGCACAACCAAAGAGATGGTCTGGATCACTACAACCGGACTAGATAGGGGTAATACAAGGTTAAGCTGTCAATAAAATGACACGTGCTTGATGGTTTGTCACAAATACAGAATGGTTTCCTGTCGGCCCTCCCTCACTTAGCCCTGATGCTGTTCGTGATGACAGGAGGGTTCGTCACTGACTATATCAGGAAACACTGGGTCAGTACCCTCACCGCCCGCAGGATCATGACTTTCTTCGGTACGTATGGTGGGGAGAGTTGGGGGTGATCAGGGAGGGGGATCAAGATGCGAAATTGGAAACAGTAAATACAAGAAATCGAAAATCTCATACCTCCATAACATGTTTATACTATTATAGTTCCTGTACAGTTCTGTCAACTGATTTTCTCACTGGCTCCCTTAAGGCGACAGGCATATCACAGGAATTTATGACAGGAAATGAACTAACCTTTTCAGGGACCTTCGACTTCACTTCCTGCCAGTGTCATCCACGTGCCTAGCACGCAAGCAGACACACCTGTCAGACAGAAAACATAACCTCCTGAACATAAAAGCAGGATTGGATTGTAAGCGCCGGAGAAGAGCACCCACTAAGTACTACAGAACTAAACATTCTTACCTCAATGCCATACTAGGCCAATTCCCACCGGCCATTTTCTTCGTGTTGGCGGGGTACGTGGGCTGTGACCGGGCGGGAGGAGTGGCGATGCTCGCGCTGTCTGTGGCGTTTGGTGGACTGGCTGTCCCCGGATTCAAGGTAAGTCGTTGTGACACTGATCCTACCTTAAAACATCAGTTGTCTATAAAGAAAAATACCGACTGACTTAGTCTGGTCCGCTTTGTAGAAAACATGAATGGAAGCATTATTGATCATGAATTGCAGTGGTTTAGAAAGTCGGCAATTCATGTTCTTGGTACAGTCTGTCGATTTTCAATGCTCGTCGTCTTCTGGTTTGTAACATTGAATAAAATTGATTTCAGTTATCATATATAGTTTGATAAAACTTTTGCGCTATGTGTTTTCAGTTGTCCCATGTGGAGTTGGCTCCGCGGTTCGGAGGAATCCTGTACGGTATCACCAACACGTTTGGGAACATCCCCGGCTTCGTGACGCCGCTGGTGGTCGGCGCACTCACCAACAACAATGTAAGTCAATCTGACATTGACAACTATAGTCATCTGCCATAACATAGTCAGCGCAATCAGATTAAAAGCGTCACCTACTGATATCTTGTGGGAAGTCAGTCAGTATCTACATGTTTGTTACACTTTCTGATTCACAACAGTCAGCACTATCAATACTTCCCACTAGGGGCCAATGAGCACGGTTTGTAAACAAGATCAACTGAAAAAAAAACAAGTCTCTAACCTCCGTCAAGACGAAGAAATGCAAAATAGGCCATGTTGATTTGATTATATGGATGACATCCGCGCGCGCATGAATTTTCGGCCGTTTCCAAAAAAACAAAAGTTTTCAACCATACTGTAAATCGTACAAAACAGTTGCAAAATGAGCAAAAATATACCATAAGTTACAAAAAAAATAATAAAAACTATATCAATGTCGTAGAATGCCAAAATCAAACGAAAAGAGACGAAATTGTAAAGAAATGAACTTGAAGACTAGATTATTCGCCAAACCATATTCTGTGCCATTTGCCCAACCCTCATGACCACGTAGATTTCATAATGAAAAGAACTTTTTTTTTGCAAAACTTTTTTTATTCGCACGCGCGCATCAGTTTTGGGGCTCCCGGAGGATGTCATCCATATAATCAAATCAACATGGCCATAATACATAAAAAAGCAAATATTTAGTGGACATGTAGACGCCGTCTCATTGGTTCTACCGTTAACTGCCAATCTCTCATTGGTTGAACTACTAGTTGTGAAGGGAATGAACCAAAAACAGCACAAATCCACATACGGCATTTCACACTTTTCCCCAACTCCAGCAAACCCGTGAGGCATGGCAGACGGTGTTCTGGATCGGGGCCGGTATCTACGTGTTCGGCGGGTTGGTGGTGTTGGTGTTCCTGCGCACCGACGTCCAGGACTGGGCCAAGGACCCCGAGGAAGAGAAGGGCCCGAACACCGACGATCTCGCTTCTGACAAGAACATTGCTACTCCCATGACCACTCTGGACAATACCTCAACAAGGAACAGTATAACACGGCTGTAAACATTATACTGTACATTGCGATAACACTCCAAATTGATAGTTTCGTCAACTTGCGTTAGCTAGAACTTTGTAAACTACTTTTATTAAGTAACCGACTACTGTCCATCCTGGGGTGTTGGACCACTGCGGCTGTAATCGCAGCGCCACACCAGGCCCGCGCACCTCACACAGGTGATAACATCAAATCAATAGAAATCTAGAAAAGGAGATTGCGGACAGGGGTGTCTTGGGAAATGTACGGGTACTGTTCCCCACCCACCACCGAGCACTGCCTGGTGTCCTGGTTAATTTTCCGCACTGCCTATCTCTCTCCATCACGTGTCCGGGGCGTGAGGGATAGGTGTGGTTGTGAATTTTCCACTGTAATGAAATAACTGGCTATACACTTTATGTACTACTAAAAACTACTGAGTAATTTTTTAACGTAAAACATGACACCTAACCAGGTATTTGTGAGCATTCTATCATCCCATTAGATAGTTGTAGTGAATGAATATAGTTCGTCTTGTACTCAGAAGACTTGGGTCTCTGTAGTGAGTGGCTGGATTAAGATAGACTAAAGTAGAAAGTTCATCTGTGTTGGTTTAAGTCATTTTGCAACAGGTTTGATTTTTGAACACAAAAAATGGACTTACCTTGCTAATTACTTGACAAAGACTGGAGTTGAACAGTTACAAAATTTGAGAAAGTCCAATTTTTGTGTTGCATATTCAAACCTGTTGTAGAATGAAGGTTAGGGGGTAACTAGCTCTACTTGTAACTTTTAATGCGACTGGTGCACCGGTGATTATTCCTCATCTCAAATTATACTTATAACAGCAAGGACTCCAAGCCTAGGAGTGTTGTAAAATCTATCATATACTGATATAGCCAACTTTCAATTTTCAAGATAAACTGATTCAGTACTACATATTTTTTATTCAAGAGAAAGTCATAACAAAGTCAAATGTGTTAAGACTACATATATAGCTGAATGATTTTTTTATATAATCGTGAATCTAGGCAACATAAACATTGACGTTGAGTGGAGACAAAAAGTAGAAGTTTCAGAGTTTTCTGTTGTGTTGCAATACCCTATAGAAACTGACTGAATTGGAGTTTGCTCTCTACAACAAAAACATTGATGCTTACATAAACATGTCTGCTTGACTTATTGTATAAATCCTGCAATGGTACCTAAAACCCTTTAACTGTTCCAGTAACGTAACTGGTACTAATGGCATTGTGTCCCTCAAGGCAGCAGTCTAGGTACACTTTGAGATTACGTCACATATGCCCCAGTGTCTCTCCCATAATGTGGGAGATATGTTAATACAGTTGTACATGTTATGGTGCAGATAGGACTATTTAGTATGGAATTGGTCTGGCTGGTATTGGCTCTAAGTCGTGAATTCCGTCTTTGTCCACCATCCGTACACTGAAGGTGGGCAGGTTTACGATGAAACGCTTCTGGATCTGTGAGACAAGAAAAAGAAGGAAGTTCAAGACACCAGTTTATAGTCCATTTTTAAAAAAAAACTTTGCCGTTTTCAAGCCATAATATGACACATGATATTTGATTGTACCTTTTCTTGCCAAACTCTAAGTCAAAGTTGTCTTAATGAGATAGCTGTCATGTCTGTTGAATTCTATTATACATGTGGAGTTGTACAATAATTATGCAGTACTGGATTAGGAATGTTTGCTAAGAAAGGTACTATTTAGCCAGCTTCTTTGTCCTGACATGATTGATTTGTGATATTGTTCACAAATGCTGTAAGAGAGCCATCAAGTACAAAGTGCAAGTGATGAGGAGACCCACTCACCTCAGCAATTGCCTTGTGCAGCAGTTCTACAGCCTCATCTTTGGTCATATCTGGTAGACAGGAAAGATAACAAACTCCTCTCAGACTATGATATGATACAGCATTGCTAACAGTAAACACTACACAGATTCATTCTATATAAACATGAACAATGACAAATAAACAATGAGGTACTTCAAAACCATTTACTGAAACAATTCTGTCATACAGTAGTAATACTAGTACATTGGAAATGCACATATTCATGGCATCATCAATTAACAGCAGAGTGGTCACCAAGAAAATAAAACCACTGTGAACATTTCCAGATTTCCAGTCAAGTGTAAAATGGCACTGACCTTCCCTGTAGTATTTGTCGAAGACGCTAAGCACAAAGAACCCGCCGTAGCCATGTGCTGCAAACGGCACCTTGTTGAGCGAGGCCAGGTAGTCCAGGAAATACAGCTGTGGACCTGCTGTGTCATCATGGCCAGCAATCAGGAGATTCACAAAGTATGGGGTCTGGAAAACATGACAAGCAGGTTTGGTTGGAAGTCAATCTTGTGTAAAGTTATGAAATCATCTTCTCTCTTACACCCCCTTTCAACTAGAAGCAGTGACTGGTGAATGACAACAGAGTTCACAGATTTTGTCTTCTTTTGTCTTAAGTTTTAACTATTTTAAATTATATCTTTACATCTTTCAAATATACAGGCCTCGAAATTAACTTTTTTTACTATTGTCCCAGAATTGTCCCAAACATAGATTTCAATTGTCCCGAACTGAAGATGGACTGTCCCAGCCTGCTTTTCAGGAAATAAGTTCATGACAACAATAAGAAAACAACAACTGAATTTGTACAACTTGAAGTCCACTTTTAGTATATGTAGGGAAATACATGATAATATCATGGGCATGGCACCGTCCCTGATATTTGGAATCCCTGATTGGTCAAATTTAAATGTTTGTCAGAGTATTATGGGCTGCCGGCAGTCTGCAGCAGGATGGATGGATCGCGTTCCTAAATGACGTGGACGGTCTGAGAATTTTCCAATTGCCCTGAAATTGTCCCGAAACATAATTTGAATTGTCCCAAGCTGAAAATTTAGTGTCATTTGACACTGGGACAATGTTAATTTCGAGCCCTGATGCCTGAAATAAAGAATTAACAAACAAAGAAGAAAGATAGAGACATCAACAAACTCATAGCTAGAATTTCTGAAATATACATGAACATCTAGTCCTTAAAAGA